TTCTCCTTGTGTTGACTTTGGCTAGTCTGTTGACTATGTGTTTTGGTGATTGACTCTTTGCAGTGAATCTCCCAGGTGTTCATTGAGCTTTTGTACTTGGATGTCTAAAAGTCTAGCAAGACCGAGGAAGTTTTCCTCATTTATTCCCTCAAGTCGTTTTTCCAGTCCTGTGCATTTTCTTCTTTACCCTCAGGTTTGCCTGTGATTCTTAAATTTGGCTATTTTACATAGTCCCATATTTCTTTTAGGCTGTGTTCATTCCTCTTAATTCTCTGTCCTTTATTTTTGACTGATTTAATTTGAAAGAGTTGTCTTCAAGCTCTGAGATTCTTTCTCCTGCCTGGTCTAGTCCATTCTTAAAACCTTCCACTGGGCCGAGCGTGGTGGCTCACGCCTGTAATCCTAGCACTCTGGGAGGCCGAGGCGGGCGGATCGTTAGAGCTCAGGAGTTCGAAACCAGCCTGAGCAAGAGTGAGACCACCGTCTCTATTAAAAATAGAAAGAAATTAATCGGACAACTAAAAATATATAGAAAAAATTAGCTGGGCATGGTGGCGCATGCCTGTAGTCCCAGCTACTTGGGAGGCTGAGGCAGAGGATTGCTTGAGCCCAGGAGTTTGAAGTTGCTGTGAGCTAGGATGACGCCACAGCACTCTAGCCTGGGGCAACACAGTGAGACTCTGTCTCAAAAAAAGAAAAAAAAAAAACCTTCCACTGTATTTTGTATTTCCTTAAATGAATTTTTCCTTTCCCCAATTTCTATTTGTTCTTTTTTTTAATATGTCAATCTGATTAGTGAACTCTTCATTCATTTCCTGAATTGTTTTTCTGGTTTCTTTCAGTTGGTTTTCCATTTTCTCTTGGATTTCATTGAGCTTCCTTACAATCCATATTTGGAATTCTTTTTCTGTCTTTTCAATATTTTCATTTTGGTTGGTATCCATTGCTTGAGGGCTGGTGTTTCATTTTGTGGGTGTCTTTTCGCTGATTTCTTCTCATCTGGGGAAGCTGTCACTTCTTATTTTTGGATTTTCTTTTGTTTAGGTGATGCTTCCTCACCCCACATACTTATAAAGGAATGTCTGTAGCATATGTTGGGTAAGAACCTTTGGCTTTGTTTAGTGGGTGCTTTGATGTCAATCTAGGTTCTGGATGGATGCCTTGGTTATGGATATCCTTAGTGTGATGGTTTTCTCAGCTGCTAGTTGTTTGTCAGCTGTAGCAGTGGTGAGCTATGTGTGTGGGCAGATTCCCTGTTTCTCTTTGATGAGGGAGGGTGGAGGTCTTTGAAGCCCTGTGGTCTTCTTAACAGCGTGAATTGTTTTAGCACGCCCAATTTAACCTCTGAGACAGTAACTGGTGGTTGTGGGTAATAATCAACCACACCCTGTACGACTGAGTCAGTAAATGCTGTAAAGGGCTGTGCAAATTGACCTCCCTGTCAGTAGGTGATGCTTGCCAGAAGGAACAAGCTGCAGTGTTGTTTTTGAGATCTGTGCTCAGCTCTAGCCCCTCAGGAGAAGCTTTTGAATGCCCCAGGTGATGGGTGGGGCCTTGGAACTTCCAGGTGAGTCCCTGTTCTCCACCACAGCAGAGGTGTGTGGAGGAGTGAGGCTTGGCTGGGTAGGTTGGATCAGCTTGCCCTCAGGCTCTACAAAAGCTGGTAAGGTAGCTGTTTTGGCAGGGATCATAGGTCTGTTCCCAGCTCCTGGGGAAAGATGCTAGGGAGGGGCTGAAGTGGCCCCACTAAGCTAGAAAGTGTACTTGTGGTGGGGGGGCCACTATCTGGCTGTCAGGAGAGGGTGTCAGTCTTCTCCCACCTCCCCTGCTTCATGTTCTCCCTCTGGCGTCTGCCAGTAGGCAGGAGCTCAAACTAGCTGAGCTCCCCGATGATGGGCCTGTGGGCTGGGAGCTTCCCTGTCCAGGATCCCACCCTGGGCTGAGAGCATGGCTTTCCTGTGAGTGGAGGGGTGCCCCCGAGTGCCCTGTGGCTGGGACCCACACTGCACTCTCTTTTAAGTTTTGCCCCCCTGGGCTCCCTTGCCTCTCGAGATTAGTTCACAAATCTCCCCTCTGTGCCCCTGAACAATACGATTGAGTCCTGGGGGTGCGGGTTCTGGCCTGCAGGCCTGTCCTCGAGTCCCTGAATATCAATACCTGGCCATTGCCAGGGAGAAGCTTTCTGGTCCCAAATTGCCTATGGGGTGATCAGGCAAGTTTGATGTCCCTCCACTTCGGGGTGTGCCCTGCTCTGCAGGAGCAGCCAGCCAGGCAGCACTCGGGAGGGCTGGCGAACGGGGCTCACAGTGCGAGCACAGAGAACAACTGTGCCCTGCAGTTGTTTAAGAGGAAAGGTTTGAGCCCCTCTCTCTGTGGAAGCCCCGGTGTGGTGTATGCACCAACAGAGGGAAAGCAGCAGCTCCTGAGCGCCCTGGCTCGATCACCTCTGTTCGCCGGAAGGAGAGGGGAATGGGAGGAAAAGTGTTTGGATGGTGCAGAGCTAGCACTGTGGTCATCTCCAGCCCTCTCTCCGGAAGACAGCCTGCTCTGAATGTTTAGGTTCTGGGGTCATGCAGGTCCCCTGGAGCCCACCAGCCCCCTGTGGCTCCAGCTGTCTGGCCGGAGTTGGGAAATATTTGCGAGGGAATGAGCAAGGCAAAAACTGTGTGGCTGAAGCCCCCTGGGTAGGACAAAAGCACACTATGGGTGGAGAAGTAATATGGCACCTGCCATCTCGGCTCAGGTCTGTGGTCACAGGAAGCGCCCCAAAGGGCTGCCAGGGTGGTACTTTGTCCTCAGGAAGCTCTCAGTTCTGGCAGCAGCTTTTGGGCTCGTGAGGGTAGAAAGGCTCTTGGGCAGCTCAGGAGCCTGCTGACTGCCAGAGACGTGCAGAAGGGAGAAGCAAGCTGCCCCACTGACCCTTTTCACTGGACTCAGCCTCTCTGGGGTCATCATCTGCTGGTATCTTGCTCCTTCTTGTTCTGCTCTGCAGCTTCTTCCCATGGAGCCTCTGGTAGGTTCTGGCACTTTTCCCTCCGAATTATACCCAATCTATGATTGTTTGTTTTTTCTTTTTCATCTAAAACTTTTTCTTCTTTCTGAGACTGTCTGGCAGCTGCTGTTGCTGGTCAGCTGTTTTGTCTCTCTCTGATAAAGTTTCAAATTCCACATTGCAACCAACCTTTTAGAAATTATGCCTTGTCAAATTTTGGTGTAGTATCAAAGAAGGTCATCCATAACTATATTTGAGTATTTTTTTCCTTTTCCAGCTACCTGTTTGAGCCAGATTTTTTCCCCCCTGTAATTCAACCACAATAACATTCTGCAGCAGTTTGAAAGTAAGAGCAGAAAAGAGAATGCAGCTGTCTTTTATTAAGCCAGACATTAAAAAGATTTGCAAACATGCAAAACAATGCTACTTTCCTCACTGTTTTAGAAAATTTTTATTTTTTATAAAAATATGTTATTTGTGTTACATGCAATGAGTTTTTTATTTTTAAAGGAATTTATGGAAAATTTTAAATTTTCTTATTTTCAATTTTTAATATAGTAAACATTATGGATACAATCTACATAAACAAAAGGTCATTGGGGTTCTCAGTAATATTTAAAGGTGTAAAGAAGTTCTGAGATTTGCTGATTTGGAGGAATGATTTCACATCTGAACTATAAGTTGGGGTGAGATTGCCTTTTATTGTAAGAGTCTTGGACTTTACATTTTACGGTAAGAGTAGATTGTAAACAGTAAAGAGTCAGGATATTTTTGAGCAGAAAAGCGATAAAGTGAGAGTGGTACACACACATACAAGATTAATCTGGAGGTGATGGATAGATCAGGATGCACGGGACTTGATTGAATGGAATGGGGGAGAGCAGTCATTGATACCAGCAGAAAGGCAGATGTAAGGCATTAAGGGCCCAGTTGAGGTTAGGCTACATCAGGGATACCTGTGAAGGCGGTATTGACCCAGCTGCTGGTAGGATAAGAGGAAGGAGCATTCAAATGTTAGGTTTGAGCTTGAGTCAAGAGAAGAAGCTGATTTGTAAGGAAACTTAATCTGTTTGCAAGTTTTTCTAGTTATATGACTAAGCATTTGAGATTTAATAACCAGGTAGAAATATCCAGAAGAGAACTGAAAAATGAGACCAGATAGCTTTCCAGCTCTCTGGAAAGCTCCCTAGCTCTCTGGGGTATCATGGAGCATTTCTGTTGCTTACAATTAGGAAGAGTCCTTTAGTAGGTAAGCAAATGGTAATCTAGTTGCTAAAAATGTGTACTTCGGTGGTTAGGTGATAGCTTATCTCAAAGGCTAATACCGTATACATTTATTGACTATTATGTACTCGGCTTGGTACCAGACGTTCTTAACAATTATTATGTTTGTGTGTGTGTGTGAGTTTGTATGGTTTTAAACCCTATTAACCCATGTTCTTTCATTTTCTTCACTTAGTAACAGCATTGTACAAAAGGTTATTTTCCTGTAACAATAAAATGCTGTTTAAACAAGTTATAGTCAAGATTCAATAATGAAAATACTTTCTTTTCTTAAGAAAATGACTCAATTAGTACTTGATACATGGAAGAGAAACATCTATTTCAGACCCCTCCTAGGATAAGTGTTTTTCATCGAAATCCATTGATACTGTGTGGATGATTTACTAAGGCTTTTTAAAACGGCTGAAAATATGCTCTAACAGCCATCTGATAAAATCAAAAACTGAACAAAATGTGTACTCAGATGAATGATTCTCTGAAGGAATAATGGTGCAAATGAATTATCAAAGTGTGAAATCATTAAAAACAAAACATGTTTGGGTTTTTATTGAATCTTAATTGTAGGCTTATGTATTTTCTTTTGTAAGCTAAGTTAAAAGAAAATTGCCTAACTAAATTTTTGGAGGCCAGTGTCATAGGACATATATTGTACCACAATTTATTTTTCACGTAAAAGCTGCTGTTCATTTTTTTCAGCATTAACATGCGTGCTTTCCTCATGTAGGAGAATATATAAAAAACTGGAGGCCAAGATATTTCCTTTTGAAGACAGATGGCTCATTCATAGGATATAAAGAGAAACCTCAAGATGTGGATTTACCTTATCCCCTCAACAACTTTTCAGTGGCAAGTAAGTTAATTATAATCATTGATTGACCTTGTATTTATTTATTTGTATAATTTTATGTGTCAGACATCTTTAGGATATATGAGAATCCTGTGAAAAAGTTTGGGTTTATGTTGAATAGCAGAGAAATTTTCAGCTTTGATAGAGTTTCAGTTCCTTAGCATAGGGATTACCAATAATATGTGGTCTTATACAGTGCAGTATAGTTTAATATTTGTTATATTTAGAACTTGAATGTGACAAATACAATTCCCCAAATATGTACCTCAAGTTTTTCTTTATAAAACGTAAACAAAGACCTTTCAACTTGATTGCTAGATTGAACTTGGCTGTAAGATGTTGCGGGACTTAGTGCATTTCTAATCAAAGTTTTCTGTCATAATCTTAGCTCTTTTGATTGATTGTATGATGAGAGAAACAAATGATTTACTTTAGAAATAATTTTTCTGGGAAGATTTTATGTTTGTAAATTTTTCTTCCTTATAAATATCTAACAAACATGATTATAACTTGTCTAGAAATTATGTATTTGCTTGAACACAGCACAAAATAAAGTGAAAGATGATGATGATGACAATTGTGTTATGAGTAGGCTCTTCAGACTGTTCAGATTTACTGATTAATCAATAAAAGAGGCTTTCTGTGTTCATTTAGAAGTAAAGCATTTTAAGTTATGGTAAGTTAAACTATAAGAGCTACCTAGTCTGTATCATTGAGATATAAATCTTTAGATGATATCCTTAATTTTCATCTTGATTATATGTTATCAGCCACATTTGGAAAGGATATGAGGGAAAATTGAAGCTAAAAAATGCAATAAAATAACAACGAAAAATCCAAGAAAACAAAAATCCTTGAATGTTATAAAATTCATTTTACCATTAGAAGAACCCGTCTTTTTTGCCCCTATTCTTTTATTCAGATTAACCCTTCTAAGTAGGTTAGAATGGATATTGTATTTTTTTTTGAAGAAAAAGATGAAACAGTAAACCAAAGGGATAAGGGTTCGTGAAGTCATATGAATGATAAGGATACTAACTTTAAAAAATCAAAACAAAAAGCCCTCTCTGTGTATATCAGTGGATTCTTATGTAAGGATTTTATTTTATTTTTTTAAGATGAGATCACTATATATGTATGTATTAGGTAAGGGAAATGTCTTTTTTCCCTGTCAAAATGCTTATTAGATAATAATGGCTTTCTTTCAGTAGAAAATTTTTTTTAAATCCTATTGTCAATTGAAATAATATTTTGTATTTTATATTGACTTAACACATTTTCATTTTAAAATCGTTTGGGTGAACGTTTGCTTTAAAGTGATAGAAATTAGATTTTAAAACATAAGCAGCATGTATTATCATGCCCTACCTAAAGCTAGTGTAGTTTCTGAGTTTGTCCGTTTTACTAGCAAATGCTATTGGTTTGTCTGAAGTAATTTATAAAAGTACAGAATTCCTAGTATCTGCTGATCAAAATGCAGCATTTTTTGACCTTATGAAATTTCACACCCCAACAAGTTTTAAAGACATACTGTATGTCACAGTCTGCCAACATCTGCTCCAACACTTCCACTGGCAGAGGCTGAAATAAATGCTGCACTCTTGGGGAGAGATCCTATTTAGTGACTGACAGTCAGCTTATTTATCCATGAAATAAATATTATTCGACATCTGTAATCTTTACTCACATAATCGAGTCGTTGTAGGTAGTTGATTCAAAGTAACAAGCAAAGTTGTAAACCAGCTCCTTAGTTTTGAGAAGTATGATTAACTTGGATCTTAGACTAAATAAATAATTTTCAGTTGATTATTCTTAAAGCTTGACTTATTGCAGTCTTAAATTCTATAAATAATAATTAGCTGGAGAAATAAGGAGTCTCATGAAATGGGCATTAGTTGAAGAAATGGTTCAAATTTCAGCTTTGCCACAAGCTATGAGCAGCATTACCTGGGGCAGGTTATTCTCTAAAACACTCTGATCTTTATTTTGTTCTTTCATCAGCACAGTAGAAACACTTGGATTCAGTGGATTTGGAGGGCCCTTTTTGTCCCTAACATTCTATGATTCTGTGAGGTGGACTTTGAGCAGGCCCTTGAAGAGTGGGTAAGAGTTAAGCAAATTAAAATAGAGGAGAATATCTTGCGGGCCAAGGGTGACAAAGAATGTTTTTTATGAGGCATTAAGAGAAGAAATAGTTGGAGCAAGAGAGGATTACTTCACCAATAGTTTACATTTGCTCTGGCCCTCTTAGGTATATTTTAAAAAGAGTATTTCACAGGATAATTCTAAGGTATGTTGGGAAATGTTATATATACATACATCCCCTTGATAGCTACAGTTTGAGTCCCCTATTTTTCAGATAATTAAAATGTTACTTCAAATTTAATATATGGGGATTTCAATAAAGTTTTACTAAAATAGGCTTTTTATCCCTATTAAAAAAAATAGAGTATGAGAACTGGGACTTTCAAATTGATCTTTCCAATCTTTATTAAATTTCAAATCCTTCCATTTTGATTTAAATTTTTCAAAAAGTTTTATACTCATTGTTAACACTTTGTAATCCACTGCAGGCTAGCTTCCTCCCTTATTCACTTGATTGAAACCACTTTTAGTAAATTCTCCAGTGACCGCTTAATTGCTAATGTAGAGGAGAAGTATCTTTTCTTTCCGTGTTAGGTTTATGGCTGAGGCCCGTATAACAAAAGGAAGATTAACAAGAGAAAAACATACAAATTTATTTAATATAAAATTTAAGTGATACAGGAGGCTTCAGAAATGAATACCCAAAGAAACTCATAAACTTGTGTATTTTTATGGTTAGGATTTGATGAAGAGGTAGTCATGAGGAAGTGTGATTGGACAAAGCATGGCTGTGATCTAATGGTAATAAACTGGCCAAACTTAGCAAAGCCTGTTTGTTCAGATTCTTCTCTGTGTCCTGTCCCTGTGTCTTCACAGATAAAGATGTTCCTTTCCTCTAGGTGTAGGGTGGGCACATTCAGAATGAGGATCTTACGACCTCCTTCAGGGGAAGGTCAGAAAATTCTTCCTAGGTTTTATCACCTGCCTCAGGGGAGAAGGCTGGGAGGAGGGTGAGAGTGATCTTCCTGCTTCTGTTTACTCAAACGCCAAGGTTCCATATTTTGGGGAGCATGTTCTGAACCCCATCATTAAGTCTAGTAGACATTTTTCAGTTCTTACTTTTTCCTGGATTTACATCTGAGCTGTATTTTACACTGTTGATCACCCTCACTTTCTTAGGGTGACCACTCCAATTGTGTTTTGGGGTGACTCTCCTGTTTTTTATTCCTTTGCCTAGTGCATAATTTTGGTATTTAACAGGGTCTGGCTGAGGATTCTTCACACATTGTACACACACACCTTGGGTGGTCATATTGACTTTTCAGGTTTCAGTTACAACTTGTATGTAGCTTAACTCCTACACTCAAATCTCTCAATTCTCACTCTCAAATCTCTTCAGGACAGGCCTCTTTCCTGAGCATTAGGTTACTTTTTTCAGTTGGCTGCTGGACATCTCTGCCTAGACATTTTTTGGACTCAACATGTCCTCAGCTGAACTCAAGATAATTTTGTCTGTTTCTTCCTTTATATTCCTTTATATTAGTAAAGTATATTCCTTTATATTAGTATCTCAGTTCTGTCTCTGAGCAGAAACCTGAATCGATTCCATGCCTTTTTTCCCCTTTCACATCTTCACCCCAATCCCAATCTGCTTCTAGTCCTGCTGGTTATGCTTCTTATTTCTTGAACCTATTATCCTTTCCTATCGTCACCCTAGAGTGAGCCCTCATCATCTCTGCTGTAGATTCTTAACTAGATTCTCTGCCTCCAGTTTGTTTCGTTGATATTCTTCCTTCACATGTCTGTCTGTGGTCTTTCTAAAAGTGCACCCTAACTATGCCATTCCCTTGTGAAAGCCCTGCCTTGAATCTTCATTGCCTACTGGATAAAGTCCATCTTCCTTAATATATCATACAAAGATCTCTTCAATCTGACCTCTAATTTCAACTCTTGCTTCATCTCTCTTCTGCACTGCAATGATGCTTCAACAGTACTAAACTATTTATAATCTTCTATACAACCTATGCTGCTTTTTAACTTGGAGCCTTTGTTGATGCTATTCCCTCTGATTGGAATGTCCTTTGGTCCTCTAATTATCCTCTGGATAATTTTCTTTCATCTAAGACTTAGTTCAGATTTAAATTCCCATCCCCATTTCTTGCTAAATAAAGTACTCCTCTCTGCCCTTCTCAAAGCTATTACCTTTTATTGTTAACACGTTGTTTCTGGATCTTGTACATGTCTCATCCACTAATCTTTGAGTTATTTTCGGGAAAAGAGCTTAGTCTTACTTACCTTATATCTCCTAGTGCTTACATTTGATGGCTTAATATTAATAACTGTTTTCAACTGAATGTCTAAAAACATCTAGTCCAGATTTCTCCTTTTTTAGATGAGAAAAATTAGGCCTTTAGACATTCAGTCATCTGTTGGATTGCCTTACTACGTAGTGGTAGTTAAGTATCAAGATTAAAACTCAAATCTCTCCACTATCATTTGATGTTATTCTCCTCCTCCACCTCCACACTATGACGTTTTCCCTAGATTTAGAGTGATGAGACATGATTTGGGACCCCAATTCCAACACTTAAATTGCTAGGTATCCTTTGGCATGTCCAATAGAATGTAGATAATAATATTTGACCTTCATCCTTCTTTGGTTCAATCAGATATGAATTATATGCAAAGTTCGATTATGGTTGGATGGATTTCTAATGATTGTAGATTGAGATCATCTGTACGTTAAGACACATACATTTTGACTGAAAAATAATATAGAATACACCCATTATTGCAAGGCTGCGTTTAAGAGATACTTTGTGTAAAATAGTTTGTGGATCCAATAGTCATGGTCTCTAACATTTGGACAATTACCAGATTCTCTCATATTCAGTAGCTTGCTTAATTCCAAGGTGGAA